GAAATGGGGGATTTTGGGGGATGGGGGGATTGGGGTCAGTGAGGGGAATTGGGGGATGGGGGGGATGGGGGTCAGTGGGGGGGCAGTGAAAGATGGGAGGTGGTGGGGGCTGGGGGTCAGGGGGGCACTGGGGGGATTTGGGGATCGTGCAAACAGCAGAGCCGTGCAAGGAGCCACGTGCAAACAGCAGCCTTGTGTGAGGATCTGTTGTGCCAACTGCAGCCCGGTGCAAAATGTTGCCGTGCAAACGCCACAGCCGTGCAAGGAGCCACTGTGCACACAGCACAGCTGTGCAAGGACTGATGGTGCGCACAGCACAGCTGTGAAAAGTGTCCTCGTGCACACAACGCAGCTGTGCAAGGGGCCGTGCAAGGGTGTCCCATGCAGTCACCACAGCCGTGCAAGGACCCATGGTGCACTCAGCACAGCTGTGCAAGGATTCGTGCACAAAGCACAGCTGTACAATGAGCCCTCATGCAATCCATCACCACAGTTGTGGAAAGACCCATGGTGCACACAGCACACTTGTGCAAGGGGTCCTTGTGCAATCGCCACTGCTGTGCAAGGAGCCCTTGTGCAAACATGGCAGCTGGGCAAAGACTTGTGCACACAGCCGTGCAAGGACCCATGGTGCACACGGCACAGCTGTGCATGGAGCCCTCGCGCAATCCGTCACCACGGCCGTGCAAGGACCCGTAGTGCACACAGCACAGCCATGCATGGAGCCCTCATGAAATCACCACAGCTGTGCAAGGACCTGTAGTGCAAACACCACAGCCATGCATGGAGCCCTCATGCACACAGCAAGCCATGCAAGGACCCGTGGTGCACAATACACAGCCGTGCAAGGACCCGTGGTGCACGCAGCACAGCCGCGCACAGAGCTGTCGTGCAGTCCATCACCAGGGCCGTGCAAGGACCCGTAGTGCACACAGCACAGCCGTGCAAGGACCCGTAGTGAACACAGCAAGCTGTGCAAGGACCCGTGGTGCACGCAGCACAGCCGTGCATGGAGCTGTCGTGCCATCCATCACCACAGCCGTGCAAGGAGCCGTGGTGCAATCCATCACCAGGGCCATGCAAGAACCCGTAGTGCACACAGCACAGCCGTGCAAGGATCCATGGGTGCACATAGGATGGCCGTGCAAGGAGCCGTGGTGCACACGGCACAGCCGTGCATGGAGCCCTCGTGCAATCACCAGGGCCGTGCAAGGAGCCGTGGTGCAATCCATCACCAGGGCCGTGCAAGGCGCACCTTGGAGGGGTCCGGCGGCATCACGGCGTCCACCAGGAAGGGGCTGCCGGGCACGGGGTGCCCGTCGTAGGTGACGTCGAAGCGGAGCTGCCCCTCCTCGGCCGCCGTGAACCGCGCGCGGTGCAAACCGGGCCCCGCCGCCTCCACCGACACCGGCACCGCGCGCCGCCCCGCGCCCACCGCCGCCACCGACAGCGCCCCCTGTCCGCCGGCGCCGGTACTGAGCACCGAGAACGACTGCGGGGAGCCCACGGGAACCTCTGCGGGAAACGGGGGGTCAGGTGCACAGAGAACAGGGAGACCCCACACAGACCCCACACAGACCCACAGAGATGCACAGAAACCCATAGAGACCCCATAGAGACCCACAGAGAGACATAGAGACCCACAGAGAGACACAGAGATACATAGAGACCCACAGAGATACACAGAGACCCATAGCGCCCCGCAGACAGCGCCCCCTGCCGGCCGGCGCCGGTACTGAGCACCGAGAACGGCTGCGG